CCCCCCCCCGCCTCCTTCCCTGTGCTCCTGTCGCCAGACAGAAATGTGGGGCCGGGGTGGGAGGGAAGGGGAACTCATCCCGGGCATCCCCAGCCCGGGACAGAAAGAAATCCCTGGAGGAAGGAGGGTGGTTTGCACTGGAGACCCTCAGGGCTTTTAGGAACGGAGACAAGGACTGGGGAAAGTGAGGAGCTGATCGAGCTAGAAAAACAGACCTCAGCAACCCCTCCCTAGGTATTTTCATCCCACTTTATTTAACTCTCCCCTTCTTCTTTGAGAGCTAAGCTTTCTGCTCTGAACCAAAAACCGTCCAGAAACGGGATCTCCTTTTCTCCTCTCAGAGAGACCACGCAGTCTTCCTCCAATGAGTTGTGTCAGAGGCCTGAAACATTGTCTGATTTACTGTGAATGTCAGATATTTTCCTTTGTAAATATTTTAGGCAAAGTAGAAACAGTAAACCTTTGCTCGGACTGCCAAATGTCTCCCATGACAAATCATTGTTTTCAGATGTTGAGATTTGTGTGAGAAAACCCAACAAAGGGAAAATGTTTAGGCTTTGTCTCAATCCTAAAGCAGTATCATTGAGGGAAAAGAAATCCTGCTAGCTACATAATAGTCCTGAAATGATGAAAAATACTATTTTCATTACACACTTTTTAAGCACAGGTTTTATGTTACTGACTAAACAATGATTATCATTTTAACTGTGAAACACAGGCCCTAAATGGTTCTGTATGAGAAACCATTGTTTTGAAATATCTGAAATTAATTAGACCGTGGCTACAGCCAATGTGCAAATATCAAACTGAACATCTGTGGAAAAAAAAAAGGCTTCCCATCACTTGAAAGAATATTGTGAATCTGAAATACAGTCTATCAAGGAAAAACTAATTTGTCTGGCATAGGTTCTCTCAAGCCATCTTCTGTGACTTTACAGTCATCTTTTCTTCATCTTTTCCTATGCTTTTTTTCCTCCTGAGCTGCTGTGTGTGAAAAGCCTTATGTAAAAGTTAAGGAAATAATTCATGTAATTTAGATGCCAGAAATACTAAGGTCAGTTCAGGCAAATCAAAGATCCTTGCAAAGTTATTCCACTTGGCCACTAGCGCTGAAGGTCTAACTTCCCATTCCCATCTACTTGGAAAGGGCTGCACCATGCCAGCTGTGCTGAAAATGAGTCCATCGGTCCAATTTTCCTCTTTAAGGTACAGAAATGTAGGCTGCTTCCCGATTCTGCAGTGATTCAGTTATCTAAAACCCAATGTGTGTTCAGAAACCACAAAAACTTTTGAAACAATAGTTTTTCAAGTTCTCAGATTCTGTTTAAGAAAAACCTATTCACAGTCCTTCTCTCTCCTACACTTCAAGTCAAATACGTTTTTAGAGCCAAATTAAAACTCTTCAAAGAAGTCAAGCTTAGCAGCCCAATAACTGTAGTCGATACAACCACTTCCTCAAATGAAACACTTGATGGGTTATGTCAATGTTTCTTTTGTGGCAAAAAGCTTCTCCACCTATTTTTACTCCATATTTCTGCAGCAGAGAGACCATTCAGCTATGAAAAATTATGAAAAGAGTGTTTCATTTGGTAACAGAACAAACCAC